TCTGCCTAGAAGACACCAGCATCTTGGGATCTGCCACTATGGACTCTGCCATGTATAGACTCTCACCTGTGCAGGTATATTGGGCAGCAGGAGATAGGAGTGTTAGTTACTGGCTTGTGACTGTTTATCCTGTTATGCTGAAGTTCATAAATTACATTTTTGGAATGTTTTAATGCCGGATCTGAAATTATTCTAAGAGCGGTGTGAAAATAACTGGCACACTACACATAATCTTCTGCCTCGTGGTTCAGTAAAGCACATTGGAGTAGGAAGACAGCTCTGCAAAGTGCAAGCAGTTACAGTCAAGGTGTGCCTTGACATGGGACCAGAGGGTTAATTGGAGTTCAGTTATTTTCTCAGTGTACATGATGTGCTGCCATCTCTAAGTTGAAGGACCACCTTTAAGTTAAATTTCCCTGATAGCAGTCCCTGCCTTGTCCCGGGCCATTGATGAGTGTGACACAGTAAAGGTACCCCATGTGCAAGGCTAGTGACCCCATACATAGTGACTAGCATAGCCCAGAAAAACCCACCCTGGGGGTAGACATCTGGGTGTCATCCCACAATCAGGTGCCCAACAAAAGGAGACAGAGAGGCCCCTCCAGGCCCCCGTCTTGTATGTTTATGTCAGTCATTTTTACCATGTTTTGCCATGTGGCATGCTGGTGTCTGTCATAGTTACAAAATATTTTATTAATACAGCATGGTCCAGATTAATGACTCTTTGATTTAAAGTGAATCTGCATTAAAAATGCAAGGTCTCCCCCTCTTCCCAATAAAAATGGCAGAGTTAGAGTGTATGTGTAGTTTGCAGCTTTGGAAATTGTAGAGAGGAGCAAAAACCACTGGAAGTTAAATTTTTTTTGGATTTTCCTTTACTTGCTGTCTTGGAGACACAACATGATGTAAAAGGAAATCTTTACAAAGTAAGGAAGATTCCACTCTTAGAGAGTTATTACCAGAACTGGATTCCCATTGGAAGATTAACCCTTTTTCTGTTGGTGACAAATCTACGGTTTAGCTATAAAGACAATTTAAAGCTAAAAAAGGAGCACAAAAAATGAGAAGGAAAAAAGTAAATAATACTAATGTAGCACTACCCCCTTAGGAGTCGCTAGAAGATTTGAGTCCCCCTATAGTCCTGCACAGCCAGGCTTCGCACTTCTCCACAAAAGCTTGCATCCAGAGTCAGAAATCAGTCCTTGAACATTGGTTTTGTTGTTTTATTTGGAGATTTGAACTGAAACAGGGTTAGGGGTGTATGGGATGCCCAAGGGTACTGATAAACTAAGGACAACTTAGTACTTCCTGGTACTATTACAAGCCTTCTCTGTAGTTTCTGATGGAGAGCTGGCAGAAGAAAAGGAGGGTGCCAGGTCAGGATGAGTAAAAACAGTGAAAAACTTTAAAACAGAAGACTTACATCTAAAATTCCTTCAGTTGGTATGTTGAGTAGAAGGACAAGCAAAGGAGCGGGATTGTGATTCACTCTGATGGATGGATCATTGACAGCAGCCACACCATGCAGGGAGTTGCTGGCAAACTCGGCGATGTGAGTTCAAAATTTCGCTTGGCAAGGGAGATGTTTACAGGTACCGTGACAGGTGCCGTGAATGGCTGGTGGGCGGGGCTGCAACGCGTTTCAGAAGCGTTTGTCAAGCAAGCCCGCCCATGTCCGAGAAAGGTATTTAAGAGCTGTCAGGTTGCTGACAGCCAATCAGGGGAGGAAGGAAGGAAAGGGAGGAGGGAGAGAGGGAGTGCAGGGGGGACAGCAGTGATTCAGTGCACTAAACTGGGAAGAAGTCATGATCGGGTGCAGAGTATCAGAGCTGAAGAAATGGCCTTAATTTTCTACTTTTAAAAAGGTGGTTGGTGAAACTGAAAATAGAAGACCATAGTGCTGGATGCGGGAAAGAGGGAAGGGAGGGCAGGACTGAAGATGCAGAAAGACTGATGAGGAATCATTAATGATGAGAGAAATGGAAAATGAAACTGAGGATAAAATGGTATAAACTTGTATTGCGGTCAGATCAAAAATTGATGAATGATGAAAAAAAATGGAATATGAAATAAAAAAAATGGAATTTGAAATAAAAATGAAAAATAAAATTACAAAAAATAAAAATAACAACAGCAAAAAATAAAAATTAAAATTAAAATGGAAAGAACAATGGAAGGTAAAAAACTATAAAAAATGTATACATATATAATTATATATACATATACATAATGCATAATAAATGATGTTGATTTGAGGGGATAAAGAAAGGGGGGGAGCAATAAATGATCGGTCCATCAACAGTGAATGCGATATCACAAAAATTAAAATGAAAAAATACATACATATACAGATACATACAGAATTATTGTTAATATCTTAGTAACTTAAAAATCCGAATATCATGAGTTAGAACCTATACTATAATATGGCAGTTTGTATAAAGTCACAGCTGGATGTGTGCTAGTGGAAGAATAATGTAAACTCAATATGTATTGAATAAAGAGAATGAAGAATTATAAATACATTGGAAGATATTTAATAATGATGATGAAAGAAGATTATCTGTAACTCCAGTGGATTATAACTATATCAGAGATCCAACACTGGGATGGGGTGATTTATGTTACCAAAAGGATGGAGAGCTAGCCAGCTTCTCCTTAGTATATCAACCCAAAACCTAGATGAACTTTTCCTCTTCACACAGGAATCTGGAGGTATCCCTGAACAGGGGATCGGGTTTCTGTCACTTTAAAAGATGAACAGTCACTGGCAGGTGGCTAATCTGGTTTTCCATGAGAGCTCTCCTTCCCCTATTTCCCCTATCCACCCAGGGAGTGTAGGTGTACTCACTCAGAACCTCTCCTGTACTGATGTGGGTTGGTGGCTGCTTTTCAGGCCTATCAGCTGGGCCACTGCTTCCCTGACATACAGGTAGTCCTCTCTCAAGGGGGCGGTGAGCTCTGAACTTTCCTCCTTTCCAGTTCCAGGCCTGTAGGTAAACCACATCCCAATGGGTTTTCTCACAGCCGCCTTCCTTCAGCCTCACATCTTCCACCCGAACTCTCCCTCCAACTCCGCTGCAACTGGGTGTCTGTCCCCTTGCCAACCTCCAGTTGGGGATTAGCTAGGACTCCTCAAGAGTGCAGCCAGCCACTCCTCATATCCACCCACTTCCTCCAAAAACCCTAAGGAGGGGGAAATTCTAGAGGGACTGGACTGCAGAGCCTCTCAGCCCTGACCACAATTTGACCCCTCTCTGGCTATTACACCTGGGCTGCTGCTCAGCCCGTCTAAGCATTGGAGTCTAGCTCTCCCTAGCTAAACTAGGAGGGTGCTACACTAACATTTCATCTTTGTCACCTGGACTCTCACCCAGGCAAGATTGACATCTCTGGGCCTTCTCACAGGATCCTGAGTAAGCTAAGGAACCCAAAATAATACACTAATGCGGAGTTTGGGATTCTCTTCTTTGCCAAGATCCCCCAGGTAGGCCCAGAAATGTCACCATCTCCTAGGCAAACATTTGGGAAGCTAAAGCATTTATATTTTAAGTTTTTCTTTGTAATTTTTATTTGGAATGAGACTAGCAAATATGTGAACTTTAAAACACCATAAAACATATACTGGAGCTATTCTGTGGAAGCTCCTAGATGCATCGCTAAAACCACAGAAAATTAATCTAAGTAATAATGATAAGTCACTGGCTTTGCTGAGTGGGCTGGAGTGATGCTGAAATTGCTAGTTAGGCAACCAATTATTTGTTGTTTTAGGTAAGTGAGAGCAACGCTGTTATTTTTACTTGCTGTTGCAGCATACCAAGAGACTTAATCTGACTTTGCTTTTATGCTATATGGTGTTGTCAGATTTTCACACCATGCTTTACAATTAGTGCCAAGTGCTTTCTTCTTTCCCATTCAGAAATTCTGCTGCACTTGTTTCTTTAGGAGAAACTTTGACCATCTGGCTGTAACACCTGAGAGACCCCTCAATGTGGGGCAGCATCGGGCAAATTAAACTACTTTTCTGCAGCTGCTAAAGTTATGTACCTGGACTTTGTTCTGCCTGGATGGTTATCCTGGTTACATTAAAGTAAAAAAGCAAAATCAGCGTTTTGGTGTATGTGTGCATTGAATCTGAGTAACTACTAGGAAGAAACAGAGTGATGTAAGCGAAATTGATTCCGTCATCAGTGAAATTTTGCAGGTTAGGTGAAATTAGCTTGAAAAAAAAAACAATTTTTTTTCTAGTTAGAGGGTGTGTTTTAATTATTTTGGGGTATATTTAGGATAGTTTTGTTCATTTAATTTAGTGCCCTTTGTGTTTGGTTTCCTTCCCTTAGTTGTGTCACTTTATTTTTTATTTTATTTATTTTCCTTTGTTTTTTCCTATATTTCATTTAGTGTCTCATATGTCTTTTTTTTTCTTTTCCTTTTTTGTGTGCATTTGATTTTTATTTGTTCACTGACAATTAATTCATTTTATTATTTTTTAATTCATTATTTCCTTTAATTCATTTACTGTCCTCTGTGTAAAAAAATCAAAAAATCGGAATGCGCTAAATTATATCAAGAATTCATATATCGTGCAAAAAAGTCCAAACACCATAAAATCAATGTATGAAAAAATCCCCAGTGAACCAATCCATAGATTATTATTAGTGTAAAAAGTCCAACATCCCAACGAAATTTCTTCTTAAAACATATAAATACACCGTGCTCAATCCACCACCAGATGAATGGAATAAACTCACCAGAGCTCAATGCTGATCAAATTATAAATCAGCACAAGCGTATTTGCTCTGGGAGCGATGAGAGAATCCAAAGAAGCAACACTCTGTAGTTTGAAATCATCCAGATACCAGGAGCAATACTCTGCAGCCACTCTGAGGTATGGCCAGGACCCTTTATATATCGATCATCCTCCAAATATATGGCAATATCACTCAGAAATAAAGGAAAGGCATGATGGTGCAGTAAGTAAAAACCGTTTGTATTTATTAAAATCTCATTGTCAGGAATGGACTGGCCAGCAATGGTGGGACTCACCTGCCTTTTGATCTGCAGTACCAGGGCTGGCCAGCGGGTGCTCCCAGCAATCAGAGACTCAACTTTGCAGCCAGCTAACACCTGGAACTGATTATGCTGGGGTATTTAAGGGATGGCCAGACCCACAGACTCTGCCTTGGTGTGTGTTTCTCTTGGGCCCTGTATCCTGTTCCTGCTCTCTGTTCCTGTCTGATTCTCTGCTACCTGTCCTGATCCCTGGCTTGTGACCCTGACCATCCCTCTGCTTGACCCTCTGTACTACGCTGCTTGCTACCTGCTGAACCTGGCCTGTGACCCCGACCATTCTCCGCTTGCTCCCCCTGTACCTACCTGCCCAATTGATATTGACCCGGCCTGCCTGACGACGCTTGCTTGTATGTACTGTTATCTGTGGGTGGTTTGGTTTGGTTTGTTTGCACTGTATTATGTTTAGTATTGCACTGCGTTTATGTTTGTATTGTTAGTGTTAATAAATTACATTGTTAATCACATATCTGAAGTCTGCGTTTCCCTGCGTCAGTCACACATCTCTGGTCATACCTGGGAGCCCTGACATTACACCAAGGCCAATCCTGACCAGAAGTGGCTGCACAGGGAAGCCATCTTGGTTTGTTGATGGGAAGGATGGATCTGGATGAGGTTGAGTATTTATCTCTGCTAGTGTTTGATGACAGGGAGTATGCTTATCAAACTCTGAAGGAGTATCCCCGGGATGAACTGCTAGAATGTATACGGCTCGCTCATGTTCTAGTAGATCAGGGCACAGAGTTCTCTGAGGTGCAGCCTTTGATTGAGTTTTGTGCAGAGTTGGATTCATCTGGTTCCCCCGAATGCAGGGATGAATTTTTGCCACCATTTAGTGCAGACCAGGTAGAGTCCCTGGTGTGGTTATTAGAGGATGATGTGGGTTACTTTCTGGATCGTTATTCCACATGTTCACCACAGACACTAAGAGATTGTATAAACGCAGTGCAGTCATTGACCAGACAGGCTTTGTGTAAGCTCAGCTTTGTTTCAACCCATACTGCAGACATGGACAGACTTGTTGCACCCAGCCTCAGTCAGCTTACAAAAACCCAGTCCTGCTTCTAACTCTTCTCCTGTATTCCCACCAGCTCCTCCAGTTACAGCCCAGTATACGTGACTATCTACCACATGTCAGTACCCTGTTCCCACTCGCTGCACCTATCCTGCCTTTAACCCTGTAAAAAAGCCCTCTGTAGCAACCGCTCCCTCTCCTGTTCCATCCTCCAGTTCTTCTCTGTCTCCAGCTGCTCCATTCGTTTGCAGACCTGCGTTTACTTGCAGTGCTCCAGTAGTTAAAACCAGAAAAAAGCGAAAATTCTTTCCAACCAATACCATCCTGCCAGTATCCAAACCGTGAGCCTGCCTTCCGTGGTTCAGCCTGAAGCCTCTACTCGGCCTGAAGCCTCTACTCGCCTGAATCCTCTACTCGCCTGAAGCCTCTACTCGCCCTGAAGCCTCTACTCGGCCTGAAGCCTCTACTCAGCCGGACGCCGGCATTCAGCCTGATGCCTCTACCCAGCATGATGAACTGATCCAGCCTGATGATCCTATTAGGCCAGTTGACTCGATGCCCGCTGTTGATCCAGATGATCCGGTACCTGATCCGGTGCTCGCTGTCGTGCCAATTGACTCAGAGCCCGCTGTCGTACCTGGTGACTCGGTGCCCACTGCCTTGCCAGATGACGCGGTGCCCGCTGGCGAGCCAAATGACCTGATGCCTGGTGACCCAGTGCCCGCTGTCATACCTGGTGACCCGATGCCCGCTGTCGAGCCAGACGATCCAATGCCTGGTGACCCGGTGCCCACTGCCTTGCCAGATGACGCGGTGCCCGCTGGCAAGCCAAATGACCTGATGCCTGGTGACCCAGTGCCCGCTGTCGAGCCAGACAATCCGGTACCTGATGACCCGGTGGCCCACTGTCGTGCCTGTTGATTCGGAGCCCACTGCCTTGCCAGATGACGCGGTGCCCGCTGTTGAGCCAAATGACCTGATGCCTGGTGACCCGATGCCCGCTGTCCAGTCAGACGATCCAATGTCTGACCCAGTGCCCGCGGTCATACCACTTGACTCGGAGCCCACTGCCTTGCCAGATGATGCGGTGCCTGCGGTCGAGCCAAATGACCTGATGCCGGGTGACCCGATGCCCGCTGTCCAGCCAGACGATCCAATGTCTGACCCAGTGCCAGCGGTCATGCCAGTTGACTCGGAGCCCACTGTCGTGCCAGATGACTCGGCGCCCGCCGCTCTGCCTGAGGGCCCGAGACCTGTCGCTCCACCTGGGGGTCCGGCGCCTGCCGCTCCGCCTGAGGGCCCGAGACCTGTCGCTCCGCCTGGGGGCCCGAGACCTGTCGCTCCACCTGGGGGTTCGGCGCCCGCCGCTCCGCCTGAGGGCCCGAGACCTGTCGCTCCGCCTGGGGGCCCGAGACCTGTCACTCCACCTGGGGATCCGGCGCCCGCCGCTCCGCCTGAGGGCCCGAGACCTGTCGCTCCACCTGGGGGTCCGGCGCCCGCCGCTCCGCCTGAGGGCCCGAGACCTGTCGCTCCACCTGGGGGTCCGGCGCCCGCCGCTCCGCCTGAGGGCCCGAGACCTGTCGCTCCACCTGGGGGTCCGGCGCCCGCCGCTCCGCCTGAGGGCCCGAGACCTGTCGCTCCACCTGGGGGTCCGGCGCCCGCCGCTCCGCCTGAGGGCCCGAGACCTGTCGCTCCGCCTGGGGGCCCGAGACCTGTCACTCCACCTGGGGGTCCGGCGCCCGCCGCTCCGCCTGAGGGCCCGAGACCTGTCGCTCCGCCTGGGGGCCCGAGACCTGTCGCTCCACCTGGGGGTCCGGCGCCCGCCGCTCCGCCTGAGGGCCCGAGACCTGTCGCTACACCTGGGGGTCCGGCGCCCGCCGCCGCTCCGCCTGAGGGCCCGAGACCTGTCGCTCCACCTGGGGGTCCGGCGCCCGCTGCTCCGCCTGAGGGCCCGAGACCTGTCGCTCCACCTGGGGGTCCGGCGCCCGCCGCTCCGCCTGAGGGCCCGAGACCTGTCGCACCACCTGGGGGCCCGATGCCTGTCGCCCCCGCCTGGGGGCCCGATGCCTGTCGCCTCGCCTGGGGGCCCGATGCCTGTCGCCCCTCCTGGGGGCCCGGCGCCTGCTCCGCCTGGGGCCCGATGCCTGTCGCCCCGCCTGGGGGCCCGATGCCTGTCGCCCCCGCCTGGGGGCCCGATGCCTGTCGCCCCTCCTGGGGGCCCGGCGCCCGCCGCTCCGCCTGGGGGCCCGGCGCCCGCCGCTCCGCCTGGGGGTCCGATGCCGGTCGCCCCGCTGGGGGCCCGATGCCTGTCGCCTCGCCTGTCGGGGGGCCCGATGCCTGTCGCCCCGCCTGGGGGCCCGATGCCTGTCGCCCCGCCTGGGGGCCCGATGCCTGTCGCCCCTCCTGGGGGCCCGGCGCCCGCCGCTCCGCCTGGGGGCCCGGCGCCCCCGCTGCTCTGCCTGGGGGCCCGATGCCGGGGGCCCGATGCCGCCCGGGGGGCCCCCGGTCGCCCCGGGGGGCCCGGTGCCCGGCGCCCGGGCCCCGCCCGGGGGGCCCGGTGCCTGGCTGCTCCGCCCGGGGGCCCGGTGCCTGCTGCTCCGCCCGGGGGCCCGGTGCTGCTGCTCCGCCCGGGGGCCCGGTGCCTGCTGCCCCCGGTGACCCGCTGCCTGCTGCTTCGCCTGGTAATCCGATGTGCCTCTGCCCGGAGTCCAGCCCGATGTGCCTCTGCCCGGAGTCCAGCCCGATGTGCCTCTGCCCGGAGTCCAGCCGATGTGCCTCTGCCCGGAGTCCAGCCCGATGTGCCTCTGCCCGGAGTCCAGCCCGATGTGCCTCTGCCCGGGAGTCCTGCCCGATGTGCTCTGCCCGATGTGCCTCTGCCCGGAGTCCAGCCCGATGTGCCTCTGCCCGGAGTCCAGCCCGATGTGCCTCTGCCCGGAGTCCAGCCCGATGTGCCTCTGCCCGATGTGCCTCTGCCCCGGTGTGCCTCTGCCCGGAGTCCAGCCCGGTGTGCCTCTGCCCGATGTGCTTCTGCCCGGAGTCCAGCCCAATGTGCCTCTGCCCGGTGTCCAGCCCGATGTGCCTCTGCCTGGTGTACCGCTGCCCGGAGTCCTGCCAGGTGTGCCAGTCTTTGATATCCCCGCCAGTTACCAGACCCGGGCGGTGGAACATTTTTTCCCAGCTAGGACTGTTTGGAGCGTCCTGAGGCCGCTCCTTGAGGGGGGGGTACTGTCAGGAATGGACTGGCCAGCAATGGTGGGACTCACCTGCCTTTTGATCTGCAGTACCAGGGCTGGCCAGCGGGTGCTCCCAGCAATCAGAGACTCAACTTTGCAGCCAGCTAACACCTGGAACTGATTATGCTGGGGTATTTAAGGGATGGCCAGACCCACAGACTCTGCCTTGGTGTGTGTTTCTCTTGGGCCCTGTATCCTGTTCCTGCTCTCTGTTCCTGTCTGATTCTCTGCTACCTGTCCTGATCCCTGGCTTGTGACCCTGACCATCCCTCTGCTTGACCCTCTGTACTACGCTGCTTGCTACCTGCTGAACCTGGCCTGTGACCCCGACCATTCTCCGCTTGCTCCCCCTGTACCTACCTGCCCAATTGATATTGACCCGGCCTGCCTGACGACGCTTGCTTGTATGTACTGTTATCTGTGGGTGGTTGGTTTGGTTTGTTTGCACTGTATTATGTTTAGTATTGCACTGCGTTTATGTTTGTATTGTTAGTGTTAATAAATTACATTGTTAATCACATATCTGAAGTCTGCGTTTCCCTGCGTCAGTCACACATCTCTGGTCATACCTGGGAGCCCTGACACTCATCTTACTCACAAAACAAGTGTCCACCTGACACTGGTATAAAAAGCGGCAGAATACAAGGAATGGACGAACTCCGTTCACCGCGGACGCCTCGCCAACAGCTGCAGGGAACGTCCTGACGTCATCCAATAAGCTCCGCCCTACGCGTTTCGTCATCCGTGAGGATGTCGGAGTGACAAGAAGGAAGAAGAAAACAAGACCAGAAGCAGGGATCCGGGATGCATTTACCATACAGTGTCATGAACCGAGACTAGCTGGGGGGAGCGTGGGAAAAGTATATTTCACCCACGACTCCCATATTTTCAAAATATTTCTTTGGGAGTCGTTACGGATACTCGACATCTGTTCATTGAGCATCAGAGTGGTCATATGGTCCCACACCCCCTGAAGAGGGACAGACGGCTCTTCCATGCCTGAGCAATTGTTCTAGTGGCTGACAGAAACAGATAGGAAGCCAACTTCTGCTGATGAGCCAACAGGCCCGGTATGGGACAATGAAGCAAAGCATACCGAGCCTCTCGGCGTATGGAGAGATGGAACAAGGTGTAAAGAAAGCCAAAGACACAAGACCAAAAAATGAAGCAATCTCGGACATGACCACCATATATGAAATACACCTCCACGATGGCCGCAACCCCGAAAGCAGTAATCACTATAGGTAGGATTCTCTGGACTATACAAGCCAAGACCCAATACCAATGAAACAGTACTTGGTATGCCGCCTCCAGTGTGGCAGTATTAAATGAACATTTAGCTACAAACGACGAAGCCTTATTCCAGTCCTCCAAATCCACCACCATCCCCAAGTCAGGCTCCCACTGGACAACATATGATAGAGAATTACGCATTGGGCGCCTATTCAAGGAGGCATAGAGTAGGGAAACAAGACGCGGGTAACCCAGACGCTGTTGGCAAAAACTGTTCAAAGGCTGATTTCTGATATGGAAAGGTGGAAGTGCCACGCAGTGAGGTCAACCAGTGCCGCAATTGAAGGTAACAGAGAAATTCTGCCTGAAGGATATCCCATGATTCCAAAGAGAGTTCCAGGTGGGGAAGGATCAGGAGGTCAAAAAGTGTCGCACCTGCGAAAAACCATTGACCACCCACCAAGAGAACACCCCTGGTTGATCCAAACCCGGCGGAAAAAGAGGATTATTGATAATCGGGAGCAAGGGCAAAAAGGCGACATCAAGCCACTAGATTAGAGTGCTGAATCCCACACTCGTAGGCCGTGGAGCAAAATGGGACTCAATGTCCTTGGGCATTGGGCTGGGGGAGCCATAAAAGCTTTGATGTTGCAATGGGGGCACAGTTAGGCAGCTCCAAAAGGACCCAGAGAGGAACATCAGAGGAAGCGTGCAACATAAAAAGGGGGCAATCTGGCTTGCCTGGTAATACTTAGCTATATTAGGCACCCCAAGACCTCCCTTCAGTCTATAGGTAAAAAGCATGTTTCTGGAGATTCTGGGGCGTCTGTCAGCCCAGATAAATTTCATAATCCTTGCCTGAAGTAACTGGAGAAAATGAGAAAGAACCCGCACTGGGAGGGTACGAAAATAATACAGCAATTTAGGCAGGATAGTAATTTTTTCACCAAATTAACCCGTCCAATCCCGTAGAGTTGCAGGAATTGCCAAGACTGCATAAGGGAGGACACAGAGAGAAGCAATGGAAAATTATTTGCCACAAACAAAGAGCCATAAGTGGGAGTCAGGCAAATGCCCAAGTATTCCAGGAAGAGGCAGCCCATTTGTAAGGGAAGTGGGATTGCAGAAGTGAAACGAAATCTGAGGCCAAAGTGATATTGAGAACAACAGTCTTGTCCAAATTAATACAGAGACCCGAAATCAATGAAAAACACGCAAAGACCCGTTGTAAGTTTGGGAGTGTCGTCAATGAGGATCAAGAGGTTCAAAGAGGGCGTCCGCAAAACGGTTCAACTTAAATTCCTGTCCCACGTAAGGGACACCAAATATATTACAATCTGCCCGGAGCTCCAAAGCCAATGGCTCCAGCACCAGGACAAAGAGCGCCAGAGACGAGGGGCATCCCTGTCTTATCCCTCACCAAATGGGAAAGGGATCTGAGAAATACCCTGCATACTTAACCGAAGTCGAGGGGGAAGAATACAAGGCCTGGATCCAAGAAAGGATAGAATCCCCAAAGCCCCAATGGGACAGCACAAACCACAGATATTCTCAGGATAGGGAATCAAAAGCTTTGTATACATCTAAAGACAATAGAAATCCCAGAAATTTGAGCTGCTGTAGAAGGTGTATAAGATGAACAACTTTATGAACATTATCACCTGCCTGCCTCTCAGGAACGAATCCCACTTGGTCCCTGTGGACCAGACTCCACAAATATTTATTGATACGAAGACTGAGAATCTTGCCCAATATCTTCAGATCCTCATTAAGAAGAGAAATGGGCCGAAAGGCTTGTGGTTCATGGATGTCTTCCTTTGTCTTAGGAATCATTGAGATATCTAAGCGCACCCAGAGAAGGAAAAGAACCCTGTTACAATTCATTAAAATAACCAGCCAAATTTCTTGTAATAGAGACCTGAAAAACCGTCAGGACCTGGGGCCGTGGTGGACTCCCCACAACCTCATTAACACCCCCTTCCCTCTCTCTGACCACAACCTGATTACCTTCTCTATCTCCTCGTCCTCCAACGTCTACCCCTCCAAATGTCACACTACTACCAGCCGTAACCTCCGCAACCTTAACCCTGCCCCCCTACACTCTGCAGCTGATCAACTTCACGACAGCATCCTCCCCCTGTCTTGCCCCGACTTGGCTATGAC